GGGTGATTTCTTCTTCTTGCAGACATCTGTTATTTTGAAACTGTTTCTTGTATAATACGCATGTATCTGTGAGTTGATGAGCAGATACATGAAAAAATACTTAGTCGAAAATTAAATTGATTTCTGACTGGTTCACTTCCCCCATAGGGTTGTGCATAAAAAGCATTGCCTGTTTGTCATCCAAACCCATAATGCATTGCAAACACTGAAAAGGTTTATTAAGAGGACTACAACTTGTACATGTACCTGTAACAATAAATGATAGGAGGAAACGAATTGAGAAATCAATACATTGCAATCTGCAGAGCAAAGAGCTTGAACACCAACAGAATATTTGGTTTCATACCAGGTAGAGACATCTACTGACTGCACCATTAACATATCCAGGCTTTCCCAACTAAAAATCCGCTATTTTTCAAGGAACGTATCTCTGGTGTAATTACCATTTGAGTTCTACTTTCTTTAACCGTACAGAACCTTTCGAAAATTTCTTGGACTTTGAAAGGCATGTGATCTGGGTCAGGGTACCAAATTAGAGATGCATTCGCTTTTGGGTGAGTGACAAGCTGACAATTGCAGAAAAGTTTCTGGCTCAGGAACATAATACATATAACTTCACTGTCTGAGCAAGACTGTCTTGAAGTGAGATCCTGAAGCAAGACTGCTAGATCTCCCCATGTTCAAAACGGCAACCAGGAGTGTACCTTGGGCTTTGAAGTAATGCACCAGGAGCCACATGACCATGTGGTGTCCAGTGAAGCACTTGCGCTGTTTGTGAAGTGCTTGATACATGGTCTGCAGGACTTCCGTAGGAAGAGGGTCTGACAAGCCTGCTTCGACTTCAGCTTCCTGAAGGGGGGGGAGACAGACCGCAGGGTAACATAAGTCTCTTTGAGACGAAGTCACATGTATGATTGAAGGGGGAATAGTAACGCCATTTTGCTCTCAAAAATGAATAAATATGCAGTTTTACTTTGACTTGGTGCATTCCAGGCACAGACAATCTATTGTGGAAAAATGACTTGCTTAAGGACAACAGCATCAAACTTTAAACTCCTAGGAGAAAACCTTTAACCATTTGCTGAAGTAGTAGAATAAATTGTAATTTACCCTCTGCGTTGATTTGGAAATCATTCCTTCCATAAATTACCTTGAAATGAGCTCTTCCAATTCTTATCATTACCATTTACATTACTGATTATCAATAGCTAATAATCTTCAACATGTTATTTCAACAATATATGTATGTAAAGATCTGTGCGAATCCCACAACTGGTTTTGTTTGCCGTCATATGTTTTTACTCTCAATATCAGTCTCTGTATTGCAGAGTGCACATAGCAAGTGACAGTAACACCTGCTGCTAATAAAAAGGAAACTGCAAAAATGAAACTTGCACTTTATCACTATGATAGTGCAACAGATAGGAACAAGTCAGTGAAGAGACCGAATGAATAACGCCACGTGTAATGAGGGAGAGACAGCAATCAATATCTTGGCTTGAAAAACCACCAGCAGCAAGGGCACACCCAGGAACAACACTTTTGGAGGCAAAAATCATGTTTTTTGGAGGGGGGTCACTCCATGAGGTTGGGGCACAATTTGTGACGGTGTCAACTGTTACATGGGCTCCGTAAAAATAATCAGCTAAGTTCCCTGCATGTGGATTCCAAATTGACATTGTTATACATCTAGCAGGGCTGAATACAGAGGTGTGTTATTTTACAGAGAAAATAACCTACTCTACAGGTGATGACAGGTGGTAACAGTTTTGGATGTAACAAGGACACCGTCACAAATTGTGCCCCAACCTCATGGAATGACACAGCAACCAAAACTCTGAAGTTTTTCAAGCATTACCTTTGATGGTGTTTCTAAGGGATGACACTACAATTTGATACTGTTTACACGCTTTTGGGAGGAAGGAAAAAGGCCCAAAAATTGCCTTTCTCTAATCTTTTTCACATATTTTGGCTCCTAATGGGTGGGGATTGTCCCCTTGGATCTGCCTTTGAGCAACCTGTATCTATCTGGGAAATAACTGAGGAAAGTGCTGAACAAAATGACACTGTGGGCTTGACTGATCAAACAAAATAACAACCACAGAGCTTTAATATTAACAACATTTTGCAAGGCTTCAAGAATCAGACAAGTGCCCTCATTTTATCCAAGTTTTGGGGGCTATTAAATAGTTGGACATAACAGAATCCCAAATGGAACAAAAATTAGTGCTGTTGGGAAACTTGCAACAAACAATGTATACACCATTTGTTGGGACAACTGACATAAAATTATGATTGGGAGATGTCCAATGTCCAAGCATCATTTCACACTCTGCAAGCAGGTGCACGGCTTGGTGAAGCATCACCCTTTGGGACAAGATAACTTACTCTACTCAGCTGTTTCCGGTAGAGGTGGATCAGAATTTTACTGGACAGGCTGTGCAGCTGAAGCGTGTTCAGAATTACCTCCTGTATAAACAAAAAAAGCATTAAGGACAATTTTCAATAGTTAATGCACAACTGAAATTATGCCTTTCCACCAACACTAGCAAAATATTACCACATGTGTTTGAGTGCATTTTTAAAACATACTTAGGCTGTAAATGTTAACCATGTGGCAAAATACAGAATCAATGACAAGCGATGTAACCACTTGTGGAGGGAGTTATCAGCGCTGAAAATTTGAACTCTTAACAAACGCATGATACAGTAGCTAACGTTTGACATACACGCCGAGTTTTGACAAATATGAAGTTACGATAAATTTCCCACAGATACCGTTCAAATGGCCTTTCATGTGTCAGTATTTATGGCATTTGGTTATAACCTAAACTCGGCATGTTGGTTGCAACAGGCCAGTTAAGCACAGCAGCTAAGTTTGAGTTCAACACATGGTCTGCCTCTAGAGACTTCTTGGACTTGGTGTGTGTGTACAAAACAAATAGAGGATTAATATGTTGAAATGTCAAATGAAGCTGATTTGAGGCACACGAGGTGGGTTAACCCATCAGCCATCCCTGTGTATATGGTACCTGAAGGCTACATCATATTATAATGATAATAATTGAAAATTGGTGCTGCGCGTTTCCACAAAGATGACCTACGGCACATATTTAACAGGCATATAGATCCTTGTTATTTGAATGGTAGAACTCAAATCGCATGACTTTCATTATTGCTGCCATTTAGTCTCTTTCACTAGGATCAACCTTGTTCTCACGGCCTCTCGACAGTTGTCCCTCACTGATTTTGAACAGCAGAATACTGCAGACCAAAATCTGGGAAAGTTGTGACCCCATTTGTACTACTTGAAAAGCACACCAAATCGTGCCAGCAATGCCAACAAGTATGCCAAGGATCGCGTCCATTTCGGACATTAATTTAAAGGATTTAATCAATGCAGCAGACTCTGACCAGTGCGTCACTTCTGTAAAACAAATATTGAGTAGTTTGAAATTGTGAAATGGGAGGTGTGAAAAAAGTCTGGAACTCTCCATGTCACCCGGCTTCACATCATGGAACGGAAAAGTCCAGATTTTACCTTGCGAGAATGTTCCTCCTATTGCACACCAGTAACTATTAAGTGTTTGTATTATTAAATATCCTCCAATCCAACAGATTTAATTCAATTAGCACAGATGATCAAATGTCAATGTAAATTGCAGGGTGCAGCATGTGAAAATGTGGAAAGCATGGACACGAAAGTCAGCTGTTGATATAAGGAGCACACTTATAACAAAATGCTGAATTGTAAAGAGGAAATTGTCAGGTCCTAATTCTCTTGATTTTAAAAATTTTTCTTTGCTTCTCTGGCCTGGATTATAACAAGGTAGATTTGGGCTGTTCCCAGACTCCTAGCGGCTCTGGAGTTGATTATACATGTACATGTAATTTGCATTGTGACTACGCAGTGCAAACTACTTACTGCTGGCTTGACGAGCTGATCAATGCCTAGCCCTTCTCCCTTGGCATGCAGAAACTCAATAAGATGCTGCAAATCATGCAAAAAAAAGCAAGTAAAATAACTGCAAAAATAGAGAAAACAAACTAGCAAACAACATATCTCCACCCACGAAATTTCCCTACTTTGAACAAACGATAAAATGAATATACCCCCTAATATGTACATGTCTACGTACATGTCTATGCCCTCCACCTATTTGACAAATGAAAGTCAAAAAGTCAATCCCCTGCTCACAGGGCGGTGCCGAATATCCGAATATTTGATCGCTATCAAATATTCGAATATTATTTTCCAAATTTGAATATTCAAAGGCCAAATTTATGAAAAGGGAAAATTTCCTTTCGTTTTAAATGAAAAAATTTCCACTATCGAAGCTTGTTTTAGCAGATTCAAATAAAAAGCGACTGACATCTTACAACAATTCAAAAATAAATATTCATTAAGCAATTTGAAAGGAATAGAAATCTTCAACAGGGCAAGAGGTATTTTTCATCTCTTAAATCTTGCTAAATTGTGGCTGGAGATACTCGTAGATGTGAGAAGTTATTAAAGTGATTATAATGAACAAGGGTGAAATTGGCCAATGATAAAAATAGCTGAAAATGGCATAAAAAAGCTTAACTGTGAAAATCTCCTGTACTTTTGTACACAGCAAGTGAAGAAAAAAAGCTAAAATCCAAAACCAAAAAAGTGGAAATCAGCTAAAAACCTGAGAAATATCACCCCTGCGTACGACCGAATATCCGGATATTCGATCAAATTAAAAATCAAATATTCAAAAAGTGAATTATTCGACTTGACTCAGCCCAACCTGTTAAGTGCACCACCAACAGTCTGACGGCACATACGGTGCATACTGTCAGTTTAAATTTTCAACCCACAGAATAAATGATAAGGTACAGGCTTCATGTGGTGTAGCTTTCATACCGTTTGGCTTGTGGTTCCATTTTGTAACAATCATGGCCAGCAAAGCTTGCAGCATGTGGGCACAGAGTTACTCACAACTAAACCAGTCACGTGAGTGATTCTGACTAAAGGGGGGTGGGGAGAGCTTGGTCAGATTTGCTTGCCACAGCAGGAGGGTAGAAATGCATTTAAACCTCTACAATATCATTCCAAGACTACTGACAGCCACCGTGCTTAGGTGTTGGGTTCTACTGTGGGCTGTACAGAAATGATGCGAAGGAGTGGATATCAGAAGGTGATCTGGAAAACCAGTGACTGGTAACTTGAGGTGCAGTGTTGCCACCTAATAGGGATAATCTGCAGCTTTGCTTAGTGGAAGTGTAACTACTAAAGGTTGCAGTGATAAGCAGGAAGAATTTCTTTCTGATACACGTTTGTGAATGGCACAAGAGACTGGTATGGCCTGATCTCCAGGAGGAAACCCAAAGAGTGTTTAATAGCACAATACGTGGTACAGACTAAACCAGCCTACCCTCACTGTTAAACAGTCAGGATGGGCCACACAGATTGCCTCAGGTGGTGGCTGCGTACTGGATGCATAACAGGATGGCCTAAGGCAGGTAATGAAGTGTGCATTTGATTATTTCATCTAAAGTGGTCGCCATTTTTGTTTATGTTTCTTCAACACTTTTGTATGCCGTTGTTCACAGTCAGTATAAGACCTGCAACAGTGCCACTCGCTTTGTTGCATCCATAATGAACACTCCCTGGTAGTCCTCGCAGGATGGGAGAGACTTACCGAAATGGACTGGGACAGCAGCAGGGCCTGACTGTCTGCCTGCTCCTTCAGCAGCCTTAGGCCCTCTACCTCCCGCTCAAAGTCCCCAACCAGGCACAGCCAGAGCCTCTGCATGAACAGCCTCAGGCAGGGCGGGGTCAGCCAGCGGCCCAGCGCCTCTCGGTGGTCGTACAGGCAGCTGGTCAGAGGCTGCAGCCGGTCCCCGATCGTTAGCTCGTCGAAGTCTGGGGTAAGCAGGACATGCAATGCCTGCTGTAGGACCAGATTCAACTGCAGGTAGAAGGGGAATTTGAAGGCCAGTTTGAAGGTCATAAGTGTGCTCTAAACACTTACTACGTGTTTGTGCCAAAGAATGTCAAACATACCTTGTGGGCAAGTAGCTGTATCTGGGCCTGTAAGACACTGTCCAGGTGCAACTTATGGTCACCTTCAGCAAGGCTAGACCCATCAAGGTCTGCTTGCTCCACGGGCTCATTATAGATCCTGTTCTGGTGTTCATCCTCTGAGGCGATGGGTGACGGAGGGTGCCCCCGCAGACCTGATTCAAACAAGAGCATTGCCTTGTATGTCAGCACCCAGGTGGGAAAAATTTAAGCAGGACTGAACTGCAAAAATGCACAGAGGAAATCACTATTGGGAATGCACTACAGCTCAAATAACCTTGGTTTTTATGATTAAGCAATTTTCTCTATTGGCAACTCAACAACTTAACTCACACAAACACTACTTCACTATGAAACAGCCATGACCTTGAGTGGTCAGTTACACCTACAAAGTTATTTTATTACATATTGTCCGTTTGAAAAAAAGGAATTCTCAGCTGCAATGTAAATGGAGATTTTTCGGCACTGACAAAATAACCCTTTGTCTCTAACAGCAAGGACAAGCATCTTGGTGGTTTTCACAAACTGCCGTATCGTTGAAACATTCAAGTTGAAGTTCCCTAGTGTGGGGCACAGGAAACAGGTAAGTAGTCTCTGAAAACATGCCGCAGAATGGCAACTTTTTCACAGTTTCCTTCACAACACAGTCTCCCATCAAGCTCAAATAACAATTCTCCCCATTCTTTAATTTCCTCCCACCTTAACAGCTTGAATGCTACCGGTAGTTTGTAAATGCTCAAGCACAGTCAATAGCAGGAGTGCACAATCCCTGTTTTATGAGGCCATGTTCAAAATGGGCTACTCGGCCTCCTCTGCTGTCACTGTGTGCCCATGTACTTTTGTAACAAGCAAGAAACCTAGACACTGCCCCAGCCACATGGTTTGGACACAACCTGGCTAAAGAATGACTTACGTGACTGCAGCATGCTTGTCAGCTTGGGTAAGAGGCAGAGTATGCTCCACGTGTTATTGATCCTGACACACATCTAGAATACAAACAAAAGAAAGGATTATCACGACAATATTCTAATCACTTTTGGGCCAACATCACTATTGACAAATTTAAAGGGTTGAGACCGATGTTTCTTGGATGCAATCTTTGCGCACCGTTACACTCTCCTTTGATGTTTAAGAAACCCTACCGACACCCTTTTCCGATTGAGTGTCCTGAAAAGTACACTATAGTGAACATTCAAAATTGTCCATGCTTTTCCAAACAGGAAGCATTGCTGTTGTGTCATTCAGGGAAGACACTGCTTAATTTTTTTGTTTTTCCTGTTCAAATTATGAACTCAACATATGCTCCATGAAAACATTCCTCAGAGAAAGGGTTGCTCATTGGCTTCGTGCTGTGTTCTCACACACAATGAATAACCAAAGAAAAGGAATTTAAAACGCTTTCTTCCTGCAATGACTTCACCATTTTGCTGAAGAATACGGCAACAGCCATCAGCATAAAAAGCAACATGCAGTATCCTCCAAACTAGCCCCCCCCCAAAGAAACAAAAAACTAAACGGCATTGACCATTTTTAAGGCTTCAAAGTGTGATTCTCCTGGGTTAATACTTGCTGGGAACGTACCTGTCTTGTTATGGGTTCATGCTTGTCACACAGCAAGGCAGTATCTCTATTCAAGTAGTAATCACAAGGTAGGTTGCCCTCTCTCTCGTGACGACAACGGCTCAGCATGGACTCTTGACGGTTCACCAAAACTCCATGAAGTACCTACATTTTTAAAGGTAACATTCTCAACATCAGCTCATTCTCAACTTGGATGGCACTGCTCAGAACTGTCATACTGTATAGTGCACAACGCAAGCACTAATGACTGCAGCCCAAAATGAAGGGATTTAGAAAACTATCCCATCTTCAGGGGTAAAATAGCAGTTGCCAGGCACAGAAATAGAATAGTGGTCATCAGTGATGATATAGTTACTGCTCTCTCTGTGACAGTGACAAGGAAGTTTGTCATTTGGGTCATTCCATGAGGTTGGGGCACAATTTGTGATGGTGTTCATTGTTATGTGGGTTCCGTTAAAATGAACAGCTATTTACCTGCATGGAGATTCCAAATTATACATCTTGCAAGGCTGAATACAGAGGTGAGTGTTATTTTTACAGAATAAATGACCTAATCTACAGGTCACGACAGGTGGTAAAAGTTACTCACGTAACAAGGACACCGTCACAAATTGTGCCCCAACCTCATGGAATGACTGATTTACTTTGAATAACTGTTCTATTGATTTTGTGTGTATATCAAATGGCACACTGAAACTGGGGTAAAGAATGCCATTTTAGAGAACTTCTGGGTACTTAGGGCCATTTCTGATGCCAAATTGATGACGTAATACAAACATGATGTAATAGTGCGCACATTGTACAACTTGAAAAGGGTTTTGTACAATATTGATGTCATCTGTCAGCAGTTAAGGCTGTCACCTGGACCAAGATACCCAATACAAACCCCAAAATAATGGGTGCCCAGATTGACCATTTTCATTTCATCATTCAACACCTTGACGGATTGGTCATTTATGGATTGATTCTTTGGCTGTACCTTTTCATCCACGAGTTGGTCCACTTTGTCCTTTTCAGTGGCACACAAATCCATGGCCAGCAAGTTGTTCGCATACAGACACAACACTTTGATGATAGCCTGCAAGAAAAAAGCCCAAACCAACAAGCAGTAAAAATACCCCCAGAAGTTATGTTAAATGCGCGTACGTTGTTGGCAGGTCCAAACTAGCCCAACTTGGAGCTCAAGTCACAGAGCCACTCTACGCAGCAATCCTCCTAGCAAAGGGCAAGTGCATGTGACAACTACGAGTTTGACCAACATCGCCCAGAAGTTGGGACTTTCTGGAAACCTATGCATCTTAATGTTTTGTAATCCTATCCAATTAAAAAAGCAAAAGATGTGTAATTTTCTCTGTTTGGATGAGTCCTGAATGACTCACCCCCTCTGTTACTTCTTTCAGCTCAGTTTTCATGGTTGCCACTCGAACAAAAAATGATCTGATGCTGAAGGACCCTGTGAAGTCTCTGTCCGGGCCGAGGGGCATCTCAACATCGGCCGGACAGAGGATGCCGATCAGCTTCTGCATGAAGCCGATGATGCGCTGTGTCATGAACATGACGTCCACCAGACTGGACGAGAAACCGTCCGGCTGGCTGTCCTCGGGCTTAAGGGAGTCCATCTTGAAGGACACGGAGGCCGCACGGGTGGCTTTCGACTCAGGGGCTGGATGCAGAGGCAGGGAGCTTGTTGGTGATGAATTAGGGTGGGAACTGTGTGTTGATGTTGTGTGACTGTTCGTCTCTGACAAACCTCCACTCTGAAGCACTGCAGCTTCGCTTCCTCTGTCAGAGTAGCTTGCAGTTCTGGAGTGTGGCATCACTTCAATTTCTGAATGGTCTACAGCCACCACGTTGGGTGACAGCAGCACCTGAGGTGGTGAAATGTCTTGTTCTGCATGACTGGTTGCACCTGGACCAGGAGCAGTCTCTGTGGAGCCAGTTCTCTCTGAACCAGGACTACTGTCTGTACTGGGCCCTATCTCAGGACCAGGTCTAATATCAATGTCGGGACAAGTGTCTTGACCAGAACTGGGCTGCGTAACAAGACCATTCTCTGAAGTGGGACTAGTCGCTGCTGTGTCTTCCTTGACAGGGATAACTGAACTGGGGGAGTCCCTGTTCTTGTCTTTGTCAGTGCTGTTGTTATTCGAACTATCTATTAATATTTTCTCTTTGTCTTTGTACACTTCATCCAGAGCACCAATATCGCTACTCTCTGTTAGGACTGGCATATCCCTTTCAAAAGCATCCACTTCTGTCGGCGATACTCTTGTGCCTTGTGTTGGTGCACCTCCCTCAGATCTTGAGGAACGGCCTGAGGCATCAGCCTCTTGCGGGAGAGTGTCCGGGATTCTCTGATCTTTCTTGGAGAAGCTCACCACTCCATTGTCTATGTTGTGAAACTGCACCTGGCCAGCAGTCTGGGCCTGTTGCAGGTCCGCTGTGGTGACATTCCGCCTCAGCCCATGCCCGTGGCCCAGAGAGTCATGGTGCGTCATGTCTGGCAAGGACTTCACTCGTTTTAAGTCACTGCCGGCATTCATGTACAAGACCGAACCTGTAGAACATATAAGTAAGAGCCTCATGAGATTCCAAGGAAACAGCTGAGGGGAATCTGGTGTTTCCAAACTGAGCATTTCAATACTGTGCTACCACAGCTCTCAACCATGCATGGCACTCTTCTCCATTTTTCAAAACTCGGCAATACCCAAATAGCAGTCACTCAGCTTACCAGTTAACCATAATCTGGTATTTATGCACACACAAGTATGGCTGACAGGTTAAACTGCACGTTGTGCCTTGAGACACAACCAGTGGAGATATATACATTTACATGTCTTATCCCAATTTACGTACACACACAAAGTATGAGAAGTAAGCAGAGGCCAAATGTGTGCTTAACTCAAATGATTAACTTGACTGCTGTGCATGGCCAGTTGAAACAAATATGGCTCCACAACAGAGCTTAGAGCGTTTGCAAAATATGTGCTTGTGGTAAGGAAATATCTATTAAATTCAAATATTGTTAACCCTATTTAGACCTCAATCCTCTAATTTCAGTGTGATTTTACATTCACTCTGGGGGGTTAGGGTTGAAATGAAACATTCAGCAAATAATTCCCTCTACAAAAGGAAAATACTTGTTTGTTCATTACAGCTTCTTTCCATTCTCTTTTGTCTGAAATCATTCGACTGCATCTAAATATAAGCATGTTTGGGTCTTACTTGAAACCTACCCCGTGCACCAGAGACATCGCCAGCCTCTGTTTTTGTAAGGCCGACATCTCTGGGCTTCTCAGAGGTCTTCCTGGATTTGCTTTTAAGGTTCGACTGGACAGCTTGAACAGAACCATCCTGCCAAAAGACCAAGAGGGCAATTCTATGAAAAATGTTCACTTCAGTGAAAAAAAATAGTTTCACATTGCACTTAAGCTCTTTAAGATTCTTGAAAAATAAAGTGTAAAGTTTCATTTTCAAACGGACAAATGATTATCATGACAAAGTGATTTTTTTCCACCAGTGAAAATAATGTATACTGTATCGCAATAACACAGAAATTAGATTATTTTTAAAGAGTTTATTCTTCCTGTCTCCAAAGAACGCCAAAAATGTCCTGCGGTCTCCTTCAACTTTTAAACAGTAAATGTACTTTAGAGTATATGTCAACAGAAAATCACTTTTTATATCATTCAGCAATTTTTGAGCCACTGATCCTAATGGGTTGTTTGATTTCTTTCACATTAGAAGTGTCATGTTTGTTACGTTTTTCACCAAGTATTCATAGTCAGCATGAAATTTGAATGAAGTTAGTGCAAATTCAGCTTCTATGTTAGGATTAAATCTCTGTACATGTGTAGCAACCATTATTCCCTACCACTTTGAGTTTTCATACAAATGGCATAATGGACATGACACTTTGCGTAACAGTCATGACACCCATAAGACAAGTGGCAGAAACAACATTGATGATCAGTGTAACAGATTGATCAGTTTCTGAGGGTTTTTGAACCATGTCCGAACTGAACCCGAACTGAGCCTTGGCACCTTTTAGCAGCACTAGTCCCTGTTACATAATCCCATTCCAACCTATAGTACTCTAAGCATTGTATTCCATGTGTTACAGTATAGCTGTTAGATCACTTAAACCTACAAAAAGAACTTTAAATGTATTGTTCAAGAATATTAGGGTGTCATGTCCGTTATGCTAGTGTATTCATACTATCTGTCAAATACTAAGCCATAACCAAAATCATGAGAGTATCAACTAATAATGTGTTCTGTTTTGGTATGGTGGGTGTTAGTAGGTGGAAATCTCTCATTAACTGTAGCTAGCTGGTGCAAAAGCAAGTCTGTTTTATCCTTTTTTTGTTTTGTAAATATTGACAAAACAACCCCTCTGAAAGTACAAAAATATATGAGATATTACAGAATACCGGTTATGATGTGTGTTCCTATCTTTTAACCTTACTATGATAACAATGAAATATCTGCCATACCTTGTACTAACAAAAAATTGTTCGCTTACAAAAAGTAGACAAAACTGTCATGTCTATTACGCTACATTTTGAGCTCTGGAAAAAGAATGCAAAGTAAAACTGTTCCAAAAAGATGACTGATTAAAGCATGACATTAGGGTTTTCAATAAATACCAAAACCATGTGCATTTTATCCAAAAACTCATGGGAATTTTCATAACTAACAGTAGGACAAAATACCTTGTCCCTTTCGTGTCATGTCTGTTACGCTCACAATTAGCATATTTTCTCTACAACCGTTCGCTAAAATTGTGTGAAATTTAATGTGTATGCCACTGATAGTTAAATGTGTCTGATAAACTCAATAAAAATTGTTTGGAGATTGGCAATTCTACTGTGCGATGATTTGAATAAGAAAACCTGTCTGAATGGCATGTCAATTACGCTGGAATTGACCATAAGCAATATACTCACTTGACTCAAATTAGTTTTTGATTTTTGCCCTGCCGGACGTGTATCATAACACTGTATACTCAAATTACAAAATCTGACAAAATCAGACAAAGTACACATACATGTACATCAAGAGCATGCCTATAGTGAAGTCTCCTGCAGGCCCCTTCAATCGTTGCAACATGTTCATGGACCTTATTTACGGGGAAGCCATTTTAAACTGTGTGGCCCAAATCTATCTTTTTCAGTATATCTTTTAAATGGGGTGGTGCCAGACTTTTTGGGGTTCCAGATCTCTCAGGTTTTTAAATGTTGCTCAAAACATTTAAATGGTTCTCAAAATGAAAAGTTAACCTCACTTTCAATTTAAGATGAATATAGCCTCTTAGCTAGAATCTGTCTCAAAATCTGGAATAACGTTGCTTTACAACTGACCTTGGGAATTTTGACCCTGTCAGGTGACCTTTTGGCAGAGGAGCTGACGGTGGTGAATGCTGAGAAGGGTGAGTGCCTCAAGATGCTGGTTTGACGAGAAAACTGCCTCGGCTCACTGGACTCGGGCACAGATGCCACGTCTGTACCGAAGTCAGATGTGAACTGCAAGATAGGCAAATCAATGTTAAAATCATACATTATTCATTCTCAGCAGTGACATTCAGGCTCTCAGGTCATTTTTTAACCTACTCTCAGTACAGCAAAGCAGCATAAAAATGGGCCCTAACAATGTACAGTATACCGGTATGTGTGAAGTGCTACATCTGTTTTGTATATGAACTTGGGTATTTCTTGCCAAATTTCTATTGTAACTTCCTTCAAGAGATAAATTTGCAAACTGCTTTAAACGAAGCCCATGGTATGGTAGTTTGCAAGTTCACCTTACAGGCTATTAAGTACTACATGACATGTGCAAATCATACTTTCACTTGATGGTTTTTTGGTACAAAACACAGACAACACATTTTCCTTTGGGCAGGAAATTCCATCATATTTTGCCATGGGAATGATGAATGTCAAAGAACTGTAACAGTCTGAGTGGAGTATGAAGTGAAGCTACAACCCTTAGCACTTTTGGCCCATTTGGAGGTCAAAAGACTAAGTTGTTTAAGTCATATCATGCATGCGTCCCTGAGTAAGCCGGACTGGGATGAGCACTTTGAAATGTCAGATGAAACCAACGGAACACATACATGAAAACATGGCTATTTTCACCTAGCTGAAAACTATATTAAACACAAAACAGTTTATTATCATAAAACATGATAGTGAAATAACAAAACAGTGCCTGACTACATGGAGCAAAGGTCATCCCTTCCATGGTTTACAAACAATCAAACGAATACCAAAGGGGAAAAAGCACACTGGAGGATACATACTTCAATACTTTGCAAGTTTATTTTCCCCCATTTAAAGTCTTATCAGTTACGATGAGAAAGGTCATGTTTAATACTGATCCAGACAAATGGCAAACACCATAAAGTCCCAAAACCATTTCTAAGAAAAGCTTCTGATAATTTCAAGGGCTTCTATATCCCCTGGTAAACAGACCTTGAGTGGTTGACAACAGTTCACCAGAACACTGCCAATAAGGCGTAAGAGGTGACTGGTTACATATTATAAAAACAAGCAAACAATAAAGTCCTTGGGAATGAAGTGGGGGGAGAGAGAGAGAGGTGAGGAGTGTTGGTCTGACCTTGTCTGTGTCCACAACTTTGACCACCAGGTGGGTCAGTTGTTTGGTCATCGTCTTCAGCCAGGCTTTTGCCTGGGCCAGCATGGGCTGCCTCCACTGCTGTGCTCTGCAATCACAGCAAGAACAAACTCATCTATTTTCTGTGCAAAATTGTTGGCAAAGGTACACATACCCTACACGATGTTAACTTCTGAGGACGGAATAAACCAGTTCGGTATTTAAAAATGGCAAGGTCATTTGAAAAAAAGCACATGTACGAGTTTGTGTATGGCGTATTTGGCTGCACTGATAGGACAGGACAGACCTTGAGTGTACACGTACGTGTTGCTGTTCCCCTAATGACCCCAGATGTCCTTCATTATGGGCATGCGCTGCTTGAGTATCAAAGCATGCATCTGACCACAGAGCAAAATCTCACATGGAAAGACCATGAGTTAAATATATATGTACACTGAGGTAATAGTGAAGTAAACATCCATTTTCATGGAAGCAGGTTCTGGGTTGTACACATACAAATTGAGGAATGCAATCTCAGGGAAAGTTTACACCGAGAGTGGAAAACATCTGCCCATCAGGCAACGAACTGCTACATTTCAAATCCTGAGCAATTCTTCTATGACTAGTCTGTACCACATTCAAATTACACATTCCGGCCTAGCAGTGATCTTGTCAGATATGACATTTACCGACTGGGAGAACTTAAGGTGATATTCAATTCTTTCTATGGGTCCCAACTTTAATTGTGGGAAGCAATCAACATGATGATTTGCACACTGAATGGTAATATGCTTCATGCCCAACTTACTGGCATCACTGTCCATTTTATAATGTCGTTAACAAGAAAAGTAGGTCCAACATGAGGTACTCACTGGCGTGGTATGTAGTCCTTCCATGCAGTGTCTAGTTCATTCAGCTTTTGAGCTAAAGCTAGCAACTCCTGATCAATACTTTGCAAATCCTGTAGACAGACCAAAATTAGCAGGTGTTAAAGATACAATAAAAAAGCTCTTTTCATCCCTTGGACAATTACATTAATTCATTATTTTCTTAAGAGGTACTGAAGAACAGAACTGGCATGACATAAAAATGAAACGGAAAATGAGTCAGCTTTGGTTAAAGTACACTTGTATCGTTTCAAGAGTGACTTCATTGTAAGAAAGCAGGGACCGGAATTGAAAAAATATGTTCAGAATAATATGGAGGAAAAAATCAGTTGACATTCGCATGATGTGAGGTGTTTGCCTGTATGTAAACAAATCTGGCCCCCCCCCAAAAAAAGAATTAGAAACCATTACTGTGGGGCCATCCTGTTCACCCGCAGGTAGTAGGTATGCATTATATTCTCTCCCATCAACAGGGTGTCATGACTTGCTGAAGTACGTGCGCACATGTGTGCTCAGTTTGCACACGAGTGCGATGGCCGCACAGGCACGGAGTCTCTTCGTTCATATTTGTTGATTCCTTCTGAGCAAGTTGTGTTAACAATTTACGTACAAGTGAGAAGTTGAAATAGGGTTTTGGCCCTGAATCTAACAGCCTTCATGCCTTGTTCTCTGCACTTCTCAGGGCATTAGCTAGCTTGGATCAATCATTGCTGAGTAATTTCCACAATGACAACTCTTGTTTACAGTATTACTTTAATAAGCATCTCGGAATAAAAATAACCGAGGACAAAGCAGAATCAACAGCCAACCAGGATGAGGTCTGTGCAGCAGCACTGGAGGAACGTACACGCAATGGTCAACCAGAACTGATGGGATGAAGTACTGTGTTTGCAGAGCATACTGATTTCAGCCCAAAGCCACAGTTTGAAATTGTTCCTCATATATTTGCAATTAAGCTGGTTCTGCCTCCAGAGACTAGTATAGATGCAGCCTCTCTAAAATCACAGCTGTCAACATAGAAAGTAGACAATATGACCAACAAAAACTTTAATACGAGCTAAAGCCAGAAAGAGCATCCCTAACGGCTAAGTGGCTGGGAAGTACTTTGACTGACGCGTCTTAATCATTGAACGCACGTTAAATTAAGAGTACACCTTATTTTCGAAAGTTGAGGGGATTCTATAGGGTCTGATCAGCAATTTGGTGAACAGCAGTGAAGATCACACTGTAGCAGTGACAGACTCTGACTGATGACTTCCCCAACACTGAGTAATTCTTGCAGTCTCATCGTTATTGCTAATGCCCAAGCTAAAATGCAATCATTTTCTCATCAAGGCTGACAGCGACTTGCCTCGGTGCCTGTGCGGAGAATAAACATCCTTTGCCTGGCAGCAAATAACTGTCAATCAGGTTCCACTCTGCAGCAAGAAATGGTAGCTCCACTGCAAGTAGCGCTTTGGCACACTGACCCTGGGACTAGAATTTTGAGGGACCACTCATGCCACATTTCTTGAGAAAAATGCATTCACGTTGAGGAGTCCTTTTATACCTCCATCAATTATGCAGAGACTGCCCTTCTTTTGAGGGGTTGGACACTGCCCAGTCGAAAGGCAGGTGAACACCACTAAGGAGAGCTGTGTCAGGCAGACAAGAAATCTGTTTGAGTTTCTTTGGCGGTTGAAAACCAGACTGGATGGATTAACCCAGGAGAATGAACCACAGCTGGGAGAGAGTTTCACTGTGAAGCAGTACATGTGGGAAAACTGGCAGAAGGCTTGCATACTGTAGTGGCTCTTCAGGCAAAAGATGGTATTAAAGCAGGTCGCACGATGTACAGACAGGGCAAGACTTGTGTAAAGGAGTTCCTGCATGCATTCTGTAGTACATGTACTTATGGAATAAGTACAAGCAACTGTGTTTCAAAGTGAGATTTTTCAAGGGATGTTGCCAAATCCTCGGCAAATACCAGTAACTCTGTGGTTTCCGAGACAGGACGAAATGAGCAGCAGCCCACCACGGCGGCGTAGTTTTGAGAACCAAGCGTATAATGTGCTCAGTGCAAACAGCAAGAGCATCTGAGGATCTTTCAGCTTGATCCAGAACAATCTCTCCACACCACCTGTTGAAGTCATACTGGATCCAAGAAGCTTAACACATGAAGGTGACTATATTCTTGCAATGGTGAGGAATCCAACAGAGTTCCCTTAATTGGCCCCTCCTGTCTTATCCACCTGAAGCAGAGCCATCCCTTCATCGATAGAAGAGCCGCATTGGTCCGGAGTGTTCAATTTGTTGGTTGCAAAGTGCCCGTGACGTGTGCATAAATTTCCCAGTTATTCATGAACCAGCGAAGTTCAGTTCCGACTAAAGAAGCCTCCGTTGCAAGGAAAAGAGAGCCCACTCTAGTCTACTAGCTCAAAGCCCTTGCCACATCACCCTGGAGCCCTTGCCAATTTGATGCATACAGCTTGTGTAATAAAAGCTCAGAGATGACAACAGCATTGTAAAAGACTTGCCCAAATTTCAACAGATACCCTGGATGCTCCCGATCAGGAAGGCAAAATCAGTGAACAGATTTAGGAATTGGCAGACAAACTGGTTAAAGTAACTTCACGAACGCGCAGGGAATCTTGACTGAATTCACATGGTATGAGGCAATCACTAACCTATAAATAAATGTTCACTGTTTTCCAAAGTTTAAACTTGTTACGCTACACCACAATGGAGAAAAACAATTCTTTCACAACTGAAGCTTCTTTGACTTCGACTTTGGCTTTGCCAATGACAGTTACAGTGATTTTAACTGTACTAGGAACAACTGCCTGTCTTTTCTACCTTTGGCTCATCTTCTCCATCATTCTCAGCCGCCCGCTCAGAAATCATTCAAATTTTTTTATGGCGAGTTTATTTGTTGGTGAGCTTATTGTCATTCTGCTGCATTTGACTGAACTTAACCTGAACTCAAATGTCTATTTGCCAAAGATACTAGTGTTGTTGCTTGCCAATCTGCTGAACGCTTGCGCCTGTGGCTATTTCTTGGGCTCCGCAGTTGTTGCTGCCGACAGATATTACAAAATCGCCAAGCCCATGCAGTATGTGCAACTGATGTCCAACAAAGTATGTGCCTGTGTTGTTATACTTACCTGGGGTCTGGTAACTGTCACCTTGATTGGCTCATTTGCTGCTGATGTGCTCAATTCTGATGCAAATTTCCTATCAATATATGACGTGTTTATGAGCAAAGCTTTCTTGCGTCGAACAGTCATCCTCATGGATGTTTTTGGGGCTCCCTCCTTGCTCATAATTGCAGCATTCGTTGTGGCGCTGGCACGCATTGCCCAGAAGCAGCAGCGTAAGATAGAAGTTGAGAGAATCAATATTGGAAATGTGGCTGGTGACCGCCAACCTGCTGTCGCCAATGAAGCGGTTGGCCCCAGAAGGCGGCATTCACATAAATTAGTCTGGTACTTCTGTACGTACTTTGCCACTATCATTATTGCATGGGTTCCAAACACTCTCTTCATGAACCTTATCACACTCGGACTTGTCAGCATTACACAGGGTACGTTCTTAGCCATGTATGTTCTCAATGGCACGGCAATAATGCAAATGGCGTTGGGAGCAGTCTTTCTTGCATACGTGCAGAGCGAACACAGATTAGTGTTGTGCAATGCATGGCAAGCTATCATTAAGATGAAGTGCTGAAGTGTGAAATCTCCAGTGCTTCACCCAATTTCTAATGAATACAGGTTCAGCAAACTACATGTGAATGTCAAATCCTATGTGTAATAAATCCAATTTTTTTGCTGTTATCACACAAGCATATTTCACCTGAAAATACTTCAATTCTTATTTCAAATTTAGTTTTATCAATGAATTCAAATTCAGTTAGAATAGCTTGCAGATTGAAAATGGCCTCCTAAGTACAGAAGTTGCATTGGAGTACAGATGCAATTGCCCTAAGCAGGGCGTGAGAATTAACTCTTGATAATAAACAAAACCAAAGCTCAGAGGAAATCTGCTGACAATCTCTGGGACAAAACAAACTGGTACATGGGTCCAGTGTGACATGTACATTTTGCTGTAGGCCAGCGCACCAATGTCTGTTACAGTCAGCGGAGCTTTACTGCCACTGCACCAACTCTCTGGAGTCAGCTCCCACTGCATATATAGATTCACCCATGACAGATAAACTCAAGAAACACACTTACAGTATTTAAATTTTGAATAGCATGAAGAAACACCTCTTTAAAGCACTTTATGAATGCAATTTAGTATTAAAAATATTACTTTCATTATATGCCCATATACATGTACATGTAAGTGTACATGTAGTCCTTCCTTCAACGTAAGTTGTAAAAATTAGCCATGGACATCCAATAGCTCGGGCAGAGTTTGTATTTTGAAAGTGACAGCCACTATGCCCTGCCTCCATAATCTTCAGGAAATTAGCTTTTGTCAGTCATTACCAATTAACTGCTGTATTGACGGTTTGGTGTGTTGTCCTCGAATTGACAGATTGCAGTTAATACTGGCTTCAGGAAACTCCATTAAACCAGATTGCAAACCACTGACTCTTTAAATAAAAAAAAAACAAATCATGCATTATTGAAGTCGCTGCAGCGGTCTGTTGTGTCAGCATTTGGAGCGTGCATGGCCATTTGACAAAACCAGGACCTACAGAATAAGACACTGTGTTTGCAGGATAAGTGGCTTAACGAAATCTGTGACACTCTGAATTTCAGTGGATTCTCAGTGAGAAAGTTTGTTAAACTAACTTCTACAGCACATATATGTAAATAATGTAACTTCAAATTGAATTCCGCAATACAGTTCAACAAGAAAATCTCTGATTGTTTGTGGCTAGTGGCTCAAATGCATGCAGGGAGAGCTGGACAGATCGACAATAAAGGCCCTGTCTGAATCTACTGGCTGTGGCTGGCAGTATCATACATGTCTATGGGAAGTGGCTACAGCTGTTAGCCAGTAAACTCTACAGGATTTACATGGTGCCGTACTCCATTCTAGCCACAGTGCATGAGTTGCTGACGTGAGCAAACACTGAGCTCAAAAGAGTACTGTAGGGGACAAACCTCATCCGAAACTCCCTGTGATGCATGGGTTCTTGTGGGGATCCTCCATCTATGCCTATACAGTTTGTCAATCAAATCAAGTCCCACAAATCAGACACAGACATGCAGTGACTCCAGTGATGCTTACGTCATGAAACTAATGGCTGACATACTTTGCCTCCCTGATTTACAAGGAATCAGTTTTGGTCGGTCATGGTTAAGTTCATGTAACTTTCTCTCTGACAGCTCTAGTTTGATGTAGTTAATTGATCGGAAAGTAATACCGGTCTTGGAAGGTCCATCTAACTTGATTGCCATTAATGGATTGGTAAATGAACAACACGCAGGAAAGGGATTAAAAGCCACTGAGATTAGATCTGTATGTCAGCCTTTGGAGATGATGTAGCTACTTAACGACCAGGACTGATGGAATATTGCACTGTGTTTGCAGACACATTTGACAAATTAAATTTTTGACAATTACTGCTGAGAAAGTAACTGCATCAATTCCCATAAATTTATACACAGAAGTTCCAACCAGCCAATGGAGTATGAGCATGTGTGGAACCCTCCAGAGGCTATGGTCAGGAGCTGTAGCCGACAACTGACTCTTTGAATAAAAAAAACAAATCATGCATTATTGAAGTCGCTGCAGTGGTCTGTTGTCAAGGCCTTTAGAGAGTGCACGGCCATTTGACAAAACCAGTGCTGATGGAATAAGGCACTCTGGTTGCAGAGTAAAAGTGGTTAAAGCTAAGCTGTGACACTTCACATTTTGGTGGATTCTCAGTGAGAAAGTTGAAGTGCTGGAAAATCTGTGTGGAAAAAGCAACCATATTCAGATGGATCCTGAGGAAATAGCTGGTTGCTTGAAAGAACAGCACAGAATGAACTACAAGTTTCCACTGCAACTGTCTACATATATTCCTGAAATACCGTACACTAGTCTTATGATAAAGTCTATGTTTGTTGCAATGATAAGACTATGTTTGCTGCCATCCATGGCAGACCCGGACAAGTCATTTGTGATCACTTGTAGCTTCAAATTACAACAGAAACAACGGTTGTGAGCAAGAGAGCATGCCTTTCAGAAAGAAACTTTGGGAGGCAAAAAGCTAGGATGACTGTGTAAAAACAGCCACAGGGACTGGAACCAAGTGACGCCGTGGCGCAGCAATCTTGGCAAGATTTGACCCCACATCTTAGGCTGCCTGCCACGTCTTGAACGGGATTGGATATTCCTACATGCAAGATGTCCGAGGCACAAGACTGAAGCAGAGCACATGGTGGACCTGCACCCACATACCTTGGGGCACGTTGTGTGTGGTAAACAGACACTGAAATCTCTCTGCTGAAAATTGAGCAATGACCAAATGCATCATTGAAAACCAACTGCGTGAGCGGGTGTCTTTAATGAGGAAGTCCGGTCCTGGCTCAGCTGTTTCATCAAATCCAGAAACTAAGAACACTTAGCTGTCTTTAAAAGCCAAGAGCATCTACCTATCATTTTATGGCTTCAAAGAATTGGAATCGGCCTACAGACTTGACAGCGCTAACACAGAACATGCAAAAAAGCAAAGGAGACTCTTCTGAATTGACCAGCTGCAGTTCCTCCATAAGAAAAATCAACAGCAGAATGACAGCTTTGGAGTCACTTCTGTAGGAGTTAAGGAAGCATTGTCATTTGAACCAATTCAGGCATCAAAAGGGTTTGACACTGATGTAAATTCTTCAATTTCAAGATGTTTATGACGACACTGATGTAAATTCTTCAATTTCAAGACGTTTATGACGCCACTGTCTTCACTGGTAGAATTCAAATGGAGCTGAACAACTCCTCAAGCAATGACGGTTCTTTGACACTATCAGTAGGTCTTAGGGCGAGCTTATCTGCAATATGTATCATCATCTGTCTTATTAACCTTTGGGTCATCCTCTCTGTAGCCATCTATCACAAACTCAGGAATCATTCCAATTATTTCCTGATCAGTTTATACATCAATGACTGTTTGACCTGCTTGGTGACAGCAGTAACCATCAGTCTGACCGATGAGATGCTTCTCATTAACAAGCCACTTGTGCTTCTGCTTTTTGCATTAATGGTTGCCGCTTTTACTGGCTACTTCTTGAATTCTACAATCATTGCAGCTGACAGATATTTCAAGACGGCAAATCCAATGCAGTATGTGCGCCTAATGTCCAACAAACTATGCGTCTGCATTATTCTGGTTGCATGGGGCATTTCACTGGTTTATGGCGTGGGACTATTCTTTGGCAGTTTGGAGATGTTTAAACAGGGATCAATTCCAATAGCCGATATATTTAACAATCACACCTTTTTAATGCTTTTAGCCATACTGATGGACACTGTTCTAATTCCATGCATGGTTTTAATCACAGTGTCCGTTATAAGGCTGGTAATCATTGCCAGAAATCAACAGCGTAAAATAGAAGCAGAGAGAATTAACCTTGAACACCTTACCACCAACAACCCTGGCAGCCTCAATAATCAACGACGACCCCAAAATGCACGCCCATCCAAATCTACCTGGTACTCGTGCATCTACTGCTCTACTATTATCATAACCTGGGTACCATCGGTCATCTTACTGAACTTGATATCATTTCAAGTAATCACTACTGAACAAGCTTGGATCTTTACATACATTTGCGGTTGTATATCTATGTTGCAAATGGTCGCGGGGGCACTATTTCTGACTTACACACAGAAGGACCACCGATTGGTCCTGCGAAATGCATGCAAAGCTGTTATTAACTTGCTTGTATGTGATTGATACAGAATTGGTTAGTCTTCAATTGTCCAAAAAGCAGGGAATTTCACTTTGTTGTGTGTTCCCTTGAATCAGAGAAATTCAAACCACCATTTTACAAATGCAAAAACACAATAACAAAAAAGTATACTTTTTCATAATTCTATATTTTGCAAACTTTTTTCCCTCTAAACTTGCACACTTAAACTTCTATATATACATGTGTATATATATGTAAATAACTTCAAATTTACTTCCACAGTACAGTTTAACAAGAAAATCTGATTTTTTGTGGCTAGTGGCTCAAATGCATGCAGGGAGAGCTGGACAGATCGACAATAAAGGCCCTGTCTGAATCTACTGGCTGTGGCTGGCAGTATCATACATGTCTATGGGAAGTGGCTACAGCTGTTAGCCAGTAAACTCTACAGGATTTACATGGTGCCGTACTGCATTCTAGCCACAGTGCATGAGTTGCTGACGTGAGCAAACACTGAGCTCAAAAGAGCACTGTAGGAGACAAACCTCATCCGGAACTCCCTGTGATGCATGGGTTCTTGTGGGGATCCTCCATCTATGCCTATACAGTTCGTCCATAAACCAAGTCCCACAAATCAGACACAGACATGCAGTGACTCCAGTGATGCTTACGTCATGAAACTAATGGCTGACATGCTTCGCCTCCCTGATTTGTAAGGAATCAGTTTTGGTCGGTCATGGCCAAGTAATTTCTTCCCGACAGCTCTGGGTTACTGTAATTAATTGATCGGAAAGCACTACCGGTCTCGGGAGGTCCACCTATTCTTCATTGTCATTAGTGGATTGATTGATTGCCATTAATGGCAAAGGATTAAAAGCCACTGAGATAAGGGCTGTATGTAAGCCTTTGGAAATGATGTAGCTACTCAATGACCAGGACTGACAGGATATGGCACTGTGTTTGCAGAGTAGCCAGTTTGTGCCAACAGCTGCAACAAGTTGAATTTCTGACAATTACTGCTAAGATAGTTCCCATAAAGTTTATACACAGAATTAAGCTCAAAGTAGCCAATGGAATATGAACATGCGTGGAACCCTCCAGAGGCTACATGGTTAGGTGCAGAAGTAGAAACATGTATCGCACTGCAGCACAGTCTCCGTTTAAAAAACATGACAATACAATATGAAAAGTCATGTAAATCTTAACTGAAAGGCTACCAAGGGTTAGCATTTCGAATGTCCAACTTTGTAAAGGATTGTGGCTGTGGAATCTTATTGTTTAAAAAAAGAGTTGGTATTTTCGATTCTTTGAGGAAAAATGCAACCTCTAAGCACTTGAATCTTACCTCACTGATGTTCGACATCTCACAGACAACGTTGACATCTGTCATGAGATTGGAGTAGAACGTAGTCGCAGCTAACTTGACGATTTCTTGGTTGTATCTGATGCAAATAACACCAGCATGCAGTTCTCAGAGGGGCAATTGTAACATAACTTATAACATATTATCTGCGTAGAAACTATGCCAAATTGAAAGGCTCATACAAGTCGGCCTTTCAATGATATTAAATCCTTCAAGAGCCTCTTCTGTTGGTGAAATCAAACAGCAGCAGTTCCTGAGCCGTATTTCTTTTGCAAAGGAGACTTTTTTTTTCCAAAATATAAACAAATGCCACAAACAATTTCAAGAAGCAAGCCTCTACCAAAATCCCTGCTACTGATGGTGCCCATGGCTCTTTGTGGACTGCAAACACTGCAGAAACCATTGAGCTCAGGAACAAAGGAAAACTGAAATCCCTCGCGAATCGGGCTTCAGTTCTGGTGACAAACAATCTCAAGCACAAGTCTCTGGTCCAACGGTCAGTTGCTCACCTGCCAAACACACCATGGTAATAGTCTAGACATCGTCTGACATCTTCCTCTGCGCAGCCGACCAGCCTGGTAACCTGACAGTCATATAAAAATACAATGTGACGTGTGTCGTAATCTTGTTGGCAATCTGTCAGTACAAAGCAATGAGATGACCTTTGAACGAATTCATTTCAAGCAGCTGGCAATTGCTTGCTTCAGTCCTGGCTGGTCAAATTTTCAATGACCTATATATGGTGATAGCAACCTGTAACTCTTGGCGTTAAGTTCAAATCACATAGAATCTCATTGAATTTGACAACATTAGCCCTAACCCTCCTCAATCCTCCAACAGGTGAAGGATTCAGGAGGGTTAGGGTTAAGGTTTAAGTTTGCAACTAGTGTCAAATGCATGTACATGCAAACATTTGCTCGGTGCCTTCTCGTAAAACTTGATTAACAGGACCACTTTGGTTCAGTTTTCCCACCAAATTGTTGAAAGGTACAAACTAACAGCCTCAACGGCAACAATCGCTCACAAGCAAAAATCAGGTGCCTCCTGTCACATTTTTAAGAGGGCTTAATGCCCTGTGCATTTTGGTGCACAGAAGTCTGTGTTTGGGATACTAAACAGTATTGGACTTAGGCACAAAATGCCCAGAATAGATGGTTTACTCTACCATGACACTTTCTTTGCTTGGTCCGTCAGTAATGAGTACACAACTACAGTTTTCCTTTTTAATTACAGTTGCTCTTATTGCAAATTGTTGTGTGCAAAAACACATTTTCTTGATGATCATGACCAACATTTAAGGAAAAATTATTGGATTGTTTCTCTCTTACAGCTTTTATTCATGGCACTGCATATCTTTTGGCACATGTGAGCATTTTCTTTAGGTGAATTATGTGAATGTGTGCGATGCAATCAGGTTGAAGTTAAAGGTTACATTTTTCTTCAGCCTGGAATAGCAATTTCATGCGGACCATACATGTACATGCTTTAATATGGCACAGTTTGGCTCCAGATTATCTCCAGGATTTAATGACTGATTACTGCCCGGCAAGGAACCTTTGCTCCTGCCAAAAATACCAGTATCGTTTAACTCCACGCACAGGTCAAACCAATGCATATGGTTTACGGGCATTTCAGTATGCAGCAAAGGAAGAACACCTTACCAACTACCATCAGTCCATCCTTGAAGCATTTAAAATGACAGCTCAAGACATCCATGTTTTTGTATAATATGCTATATACGTGTAAGTATTGCTTATTGTTAGCTCTATGTTACAATGGTGTCCATTAAACATACTTATGGTGTTGAATGAACAAGTTCTGCCGGCTCAATTAATCAACTTTATTTAATTAAAGAAAATGATGAGCTACATGTAATCATGATTTGAAGCTTTGCTTGGTGCAATATAACGGTACATGTTGATAACAGCTTTCAGGTACAATCATGCATATTCATCTCTTCTTGAAGAAGTCTGGAAAAGGACTGGTAGTGAAAGAATTCTCGATCTTTTGAATGGTATACTCTGTTCATTGTCAGCACGAGGGCTAAATATTGCCACCGTTTCAACGAAGAGACAAAACTCTCTACGCAGTGTACACGTGTATTAGTAAACCTGTCTGGCTCTACATAAAATTCGCCTGTGACATCGGTCACTTTCTAAAACAGAGAATTTGTAGAGATTAACTTCAAGAGTCCATTACATATTGAAGTACATTACACAAACATAAAACTACCATGAAATGGGAAATTGCACTGTCCAACCCTTCATTTGACTGTCATTGAAGAATATTCATTCACCTAAAAATCTGTGTTCGTACCAACTCGAAAAGATATTAGAACAGCACATGCTGTTACCATTGCATGTGCCAGGTGCAAATTTGATAACTTTGTATATAGTTTCAGAGTGGCCTTTGTCTTTTTGTGAAAACAACAAAACAAGTTTTGTCCCTTATTTCTCAATGTAATCTCTATTACACTACACTTTGTCCCTTCATGAAAACGAAAAATGCAGTTTAAATGAACTTTCGAGTTGATTTCACAAAAATGTTGGCATCAAATACATTTAGCTTGGTTGATTTAGAAAAAAAATTGAAAAGGTGATGATTTTTTGTCAGTTTTTATCTTCATGAAAACGGTGATGATTTAGATGGCAGTACCTGAAAGCTATTATCTACATGTACCATGAATAAATGATGTATTTGTTTTATTTCTTTCATATCACAGTTTTCTGCCCGAAATGACTGTCATTTTTGTTGTACATTTGCAAACATTCATGAATAAACATTGATGTACCGGTATGCCTGCTGTGCCGTCATCTCTCTGAGCCCACTCAGTTTTGTTTAAAGTAACCTCCTGCCAGTAGCTAGAGGAATTGCCCTGTTGTAATAGAATGTCTAGGATTGGCTACAAACCCAAATTTTAATCTTGAAAACTTTCAGATTTTTTCCCCCTAAATTGTTCAAGTACTAAACATCTCCATTTGCTGGTTATGGTAACATGCACTTACCAGCTCTGCAGTGATGGGACTGACGTATGTGTTGATACTGAGTTCTGTCTCTAACCTTAGCTTGTGTCTGAGGTAGGCTTGCTTCGCACTTTCCTATCGTGAAAGAGCAACAATGCCTTATCAACAAGTGGTCAAACGCGTTATATCAAGGCCCCTAGATCTGATGTCATGACCACCTAGATCTGATGTCATGACCACCTAGATCTGATGTCATGACCACCTAGATCTGATGTCATGACCACTCTGTGAAACACAAACACAGCCGAACATTAAAAGAAATGCAAACAACTGGCCCTAGGGTTAGGAGGATGCGCTAGGGAGGAACCACTTGTCACCACACATGCACAAACCGCATAGGATAAATCCGACTGATAATGGCAAATAACTCCAAATCCAGTGATGAGATAAAAACAAACAGATACTGCGTAATATACACAATGCAAACAATTCGGCCTCGGGAGTTAGAAGGGAAGGGGAAGGGAGAATCACATGTCACAACATGTGCACGTACAGCACAGGGTAAATTTAAGTGACAATGGCAAATAAATCCAAATCCATTGTTGGGAGTTTTGGCCTACAATCTACAAAAACAAACAAGCTTATCAGTGATCAGTAGGGGATTGGAGCTCATCCTACCAAGTTTTATCATCCCTAAACTTTAAGGTTTGGAGTTTCTCCCTTGTTAAAATGACCCCCTCTGAAGTCTAAGACATGACACAGGTGGCATAATGCAAAGCAACAGCCAGGCAATTTCTGAAGAAAACCTTTCCATATTGTGGTTAACAGGTCATTGTTAGCAGACAACATTCCCTGTTCAAACTATGTTTTTTCCTCCCACACTTTAGTCTGTCAGACAGGTTCCCAGGTGTAACAGAATGAAAAAATGTAAGGTCTGCATTGGAAGAGCCAGACTACAGTGTATGTACAATGTCTGTTGGTGGCAAATAATCATACAGTGAAACCTGTATTGTCTCCTGGGCCTGGCTTGTACATTACACACATGGAAGACACATGGGTAATTCCACAAATTTGGGGTCCAAAAGTGTGACATTTTTGTGTCCCTGTTACATCTGACCTTTGTTATTTGACATGGAAATATCACAAGAATTGATTTCAAACTATTACTATTTGTTTGGCAGGTAATTTGCATTGATTCATCACTCGTGGAAATTAGAAAATGTGTTCTAAACTAACAAAATTATTTGTAAGATGCGACAGGGACACACACAAAAAATGGGCCCCAATTTTCTGGAATTTCCCATATTTCAGTTGGACAGCCAAACCAAGGTGAATAACATTAATGGCAAGTGAATGGCATCCATCCCAATATCTGGATCTGGTTTTGCCACATTCTGACACAGCCTGCACAGCCACCATACCCTCTGAGTGACAATAAAAGAGGGCATGGTTTAGTGGAAACACACAGCCTGTGTGTACAGTTTTATATGCATTTGGTGCGTGGCCAATGTGTGACCAATCTATGCACAGTCTTCGCCTGTGCCACCGGGTGCATGCACGAGCCCGGTTGAAACACTTCCCATCAGCCTGTCACTGCTTTGCTGGTGATGATACACTTCATTTCAGGACAGATTGCACACAATGGCTCAGCGTCCCACTTTATTCACCCTGATACAGCAATAAGTTGAATTTCAAAGAACCATTTTGGCATTGAGCCTTTTGGAAAGGTTAACATGAAGATGATAATCATGTCCTTTTCCTACTTTGATGTAGCCCTCCAAGTAATGTTCCAGGGTGTATCCCTTGCGGCCTGTTAGCTGAAGCTTCAAGTTCAGCACTGAAGACAGAAGATTCACCAGGGCAACTGAAAAAAAAGGAAATGTTATTTGAACAGTATAACAGAAGTCATTATGTAAAGAATTCGAGCATTTATTTTCTGCATCTGCATATGTATATATACACTGCTTCAGCATTTAAGACGTAGTGTGGTGAACTTTAACCCTAACACTCCTCAGTCCTCCAACAGGTGAAGGATTGAGGAGGGTTAGGGTTAATGTGTTATGAAATGCTTAAACATCAGTACATAGCCATATGCAGAAATGTGAAAAACAAGTATTTTAGATTCTGTTGTCTCGAATTTTGGAGCCAAAGTTAAACATTTCTCATATTCAAAACATGTGCAAGTATGAGATTGAAATGTGTCTCTATTAGAAGGCATCTGCAAAAACATTTCTCTTCATTAAACATGACAAAGAAATTAGAAAAACACCTGGTGCCCCTTGACACACTTTTCACCTCTCTCAAAAAAATGCCAGACATCCAAAAAATAAATAAATAAAAATAAAACTCAATAGTATATTTTAACATTCAGTATTTAAACATGCACATCCGGATTCTTGTGTGCACACAGCCAACCTACAATCTAATACATTGAACACTCCATCATGAGTTACATCATGTCTTAGTACATTTTCCCAAATAAAAGCAACTTTACTAATGCCCCATATATGTATAATTATGTACAATGTATTGGAATGGATGGGCAGCTACATGGCTCAAGGAATGATACATTTAAAATTGGCTTTTGCCATGTAATACACACTCGTTTGTGGGAAATTAAGTTAACAACTAGCTGGTGACCTCCAATGGGAAATGTACTTTTGGTCAGGGTAGCTGAGTTATTTAGGCAGGCCCAACCCTGGTTCTATCCCAATCTAAGATGCCTGGCCTAAGCACATAAGGCCTGCTGGTGCACTGATCAAAACGCCATTGTGTGGGGGGCATTTGATTCTTTTTCTGATGTAAACTGTGCAACCTTTCATTTTACGTCATCCTGTATATCTTTTCCAATCTTGCTGCGATGCAATAATTTTCATTTCACACTGATCCTTTAGTTTTCTGCTGATGTTTTGTCATTTTGAACCACCATTTTGTATGAAAGTCAGGCATACCATAAAATGGCCTATTTTTCCAGAGCAGGTGGGTCATAAATGTTAACTGTTCCTACTGACAAGTGCTCTTGGTGTAAATGTGGGCCTACATGTGACTATAAAATTACCTTCATGAAGTTGGACTAAATTGAATCTGCACAGGTGTAACCATAATGGACTTTTAGCATGCATGCCAGTTTCAAAGAATCTGGTAACAGGAGAGTCAAATTCTTGAGGAGGGATCTTCCCCCTTACCCCATCCTGCAGAAGACCCCAAAACGCCTATGTTCCATGTGCAGTTCTGACAATTCAACACAGGTTCAAGTCACATGTCACCTCAACAGAGTATACACAAACCAATTCCACCCTTATCTACATATCAAATTGACTTGATTTATCAAATCGGTCCCATGATTACTTCCTTTATCAATGCGGGTTACAAAGTGAGTGCTGTATGGCCAGTGAATATCCAATTGTTGAACACACCTGCTCGGTAGCTGGAGTCTTCCTGAATCTGAAGTAGTCCCTGTAACCCATGTTTGCTGTGTTCATGAAGCCTGGTCAGTACCTCTAGCAGCAGCTCAAACTACACGGCCAGGTACAAAGGGAACGTACAAACAAATTCTTACTTTGATTTTAACAGGGTCTTCTCAGAAGATGTCAAACATGTCAAAGTGCCATGCGACTGCACGGCTTCTCTGAGATGAGCCGCCACAGCGGGCAAACCTTTGGTTAGCAACCGCATGCGGCACATTTCAAACTGGACAAAACCAACTTCAATTCAACACTTCAACAAATCAATTCCTCATCAAACAGCTTAACAGTCACTGCTATTGCTATATACAGGAGGTTGTTATCGCACTGATCCAGCACTGGGTGCTGGCTCTACTGGTGTGTTTTTCTCATACTTTTTTGCCATTTAAAAGGCATTGAAGGCTTGCCTACTGTCTAAATTCTGGGCAGGACACCGTGGTCTTCACCTGCAACAATGCCAGATGTATGTTTTGTCAAGCGGGTTGCGACAGCACCCTATATATGTAAACAACTTTAAAATTCCACCAATTGTATTGCTCAGCAGCTGAACAAGCAAGGGTAACATCTAGATAGGGTCACTGTCAGCTGTTATTGCCCGAGGACCTGGTTTATTGCACTGCCCAGAAAATGGCCCGAAATAGCCACAGTGATAAATGGAGAAATGAGGAGGCCTCAAAAAGGATGAAGAAAAAATAACCCCTACCTCTGGTACTCCATTTCCCTTGCCCAGGAGGCATTTGTTTTTACACTCACTGAGTGAGTAAAATGTGTAGGTGAAATTTTGGGGAAATAAGTTAGTTCTTCAACAAGAAACCCTGTTGTTGAGACAAGGCATGGCGTTGGGACCTACAGCATGCTACACACCTCTTGCCTGACCATGATGAAACGGGCTTGGAAGGAGGTTACAGGAAGCTGCATGGAAAGCCTGGTCAATTCTCTCAAGATCATCTCCATGTACCATACCTCAGATTCAAAGTGACTGCAAACCAATGATATGATACATTCAGGTATTAA